TCATTATCGTAATTACACTATTATTATTATTACTCTATTATTATCACTATCAGTACCATTTCTTGCCTATCGATGCCATAATGGAAGTGGCACAAAATAGCAGATGAGACATTTCAGGATGTTGTCAGTATCGTTGAGTATTATCACCATGTTATTATTTTGCATCTCTTGCACAGAATCCTTACCGATTTCGCAGGCACTGCAATTCGATTACGATGAGAATCCGTTCAGTTTATTGGTTAGTTGACAATATCCGATTGGAGAGTTTCGTTTCACGCATTCTGTATATCTCATATCATTCTGGAGTCATTGATAGAACATGTATTGAGAAGAATATAATTTTTTGTTGATGTCTTATTTGTGTTATCAGTTGAACTATCCAATTAATTTTTGGATATTCAATCTTGATTTTAAGATTTGAGATCCATTTATTGATTGGTAACTTGTATCATCGATACCCTGACGGATAATAATCGATGATTGATAACTTTTAATGAATATCTTAGTGATATAACTTTATCGTTTAATCAAAAAATATACCAAAAACGAGATAAACGATTGAATAATAAATTGTATCTTTTCGTAAAATGAGTTTTATCTCGAATAGGTAATATAAGTTGAATGTTCAGCGATGGAAACGATTCCAACCAAGAGGCCATAATATTCCGAACTGGCGTCAGATGAGACGTAATCGTCACGTGCAACACCAGACATTGCCTCAACCAAGTCGTTTCAGTTTCTTCGATGAGCCTGGCAGACCGATTATGATGCAATTTTAACACTGATCTCCGCGATGTGATACATTGGCACTTCATTCATTATCTTAGTGATAATAAATTTATCAGTTAATCGGTTCAATTCAGTGAAATGTCAATTTTAGTTCGGTTCGTTTGCAATATTAATCATTCTGGATTGAGTATCTCTCAAGGATACCATACATTCTCATGTTAATGATGATGTTGTGTTGTCCTCTATGTCTCATGTCTATGTCCATGATGAAAATGTTAATTTCACGATTAATTTCATTTCGATCTCTTGACAATGAGTAACTAATCATTAACGGTTTTGATCTGGACTATGTGTTGTGCATTTTTTCTGTTCCTTTCAATATTCGATATTATTACTTCGATGTTTCG